AATAGTGACAATACACCACCAAGTAAAGAAACTTATTATGAAAGATAATTCTTCCTAGCATAATATAAATTATATTTTGAAATTACATGACCTTTAATAAGAATGGTTGATGGTGAGAAAGCTCCAGTAATGAGATTTATTTATGAAGTTATGAATAAGGCTTAAAATAACATAGCAAGAAATTTGAAGGGGTCAAGAAAGTGCCTACAATGGAAATTAAGAAATTATAGATGAAATGTGGAGTTGCCGATTACACTAATACCCACACGTTACAGCATATCATTTGAACCCCCGATTTCATTATGATAAAGACTTTCGTGTAGATAAAGAGGTAATAACCAATTTATATGCATACATGAATAAGCTTGTTCTTAAATGTAAACCTATAAACAAATGGTCAACTTGAATATTTTTATTTAAAGAATGGAATGTTTAGATTTAGAATAGTGTTACAAAACATATTTGGATCCATTTATAATTTTAAATTTTAATGTTTATGTTTAAATTTTCTACTTGAATATGTGTTAATAATATATTTGCTATTTAATATAGAATATTGGTAGGCTCAATTTGGAGATGATGTTCCTAAACTAAAAGTAATAATAGTTAAAGTTCTTAACGTAACATGTTCCACTTCTGAATATGAGCGTAATTGAAACATCTTCAATCATCTTCATATGAAGCAAAAAAATTGAATGACTGTAGAACACATAAACAAGATTGAGTATATTATGTGTAATAAAAAATTGAAGAACAGATGCCTTAAATTATAGAAGTAAAGAATTGATGACGAAGAATTATATCATTAAGTTGTTGCTAATTTACAATCTGATGATGAATACATAATGCCTAGAAGTGTTGATATTCTTAAAGTTAAAGCTAAAGGACAAACTTATGATGATGAGAAGAATGAAGCAATTAATTTAGACATAGAAATGTCTATTGAATTAGGAGCATGTTCTACTTCACAAGTATATAAAAAGAAGAAATAAAGTGGGGTTAGAACTTCAAAAAAATCTAAAGAAATTCTTAAATATAATGTATCATTTTTATTATTAATTTATTATTTTATTTTATTATATATAATAAAATATTGATTGGAATAAGAGATAAGAAAGAAAATATTATAATTGAAGAAGATTTTGAAGATAACTTTGATATTTACTAACATAATATTTAGAACTTTTACTAAATGAATTGCACCGATTCGAACCAGAAAAAACAAGGGAAGCAATGCCCCAAAGTTTGGATGGAATTATGGAGATGCAAAAGAGAATGGTTAAGTGTGGGTAAAAATATGTAACTTGTCCAAATTAGAATCCATACAACAAAAACAACATCAAGCCTTTGTCCCACTACGTGGGATCGACTACATGAATGTTTTTCACCATTGTGATATGTTAAAAGTCAAATTCTCATTTAAATCTAATAAAGAAATATCATTTCTAATATTTTCTAACCAAGTCTCTTTAGGTCTACCTCTACCTTTCTTAACATAAGTCAAATCTAATTCCTCAATTTTCCTAACCGGGTCATCGGAAGGCCTCCGTTTAATGTGACCAAACCATATAAGACGACTCTCTAATCTTATCTTCCACTGGAGCTACTTCAACCTTTTCACGTATATTCTCATTTCGTATCCTATCTCTAAGGGTAAAGCCACTCATCCATCTAAGCATCCTCATCTCTGCAACACTTAAATTAAAGAGAGGGTCCAAAAATGAACGCTAAAGTTACTTAAGTAAAAGTAGGCTAAGCAAAAATGACTGATCATATTGAAGGATCAAAAAACTAATGGAGAGTAAAAAAGCCTAATTGACTACTTCGGATCTTTATATTGTAAATGAAGAAACCAATGCCCAAAAAGCATTAGACTCATACAATGCATTGATGATAAGCAACCCATCCTAAATTGAATCCATATCATGTTAAAAATCAGAAGACTGGTAAGTCAAAAAAAGAATGGTTCAGTGACTAAAAACAAAAGCTGGCCAAGCAAATGTGTCAACTGATTGGATGAAGTGCCAAAAAAGAGTACACTGGCATAGATTATTTTAGACATTTGTAAATGAAAAAAACAGTGTAGAAAAACATTGGATTTCTTTATAATATAATGAAAAACCCATTAAAGAGAGTTATATTAGATTCCAGCAATGTATTCACGTAAGAATTGAAAAAAGAAAGCAGAGTAACTTAAACATTGATTGAATAAGGTTAGTGTTCATAAAATATGTTATCAAGTGAACAACATAGCTAAATGGGGCATAAAAATTTTTCTTATGCAAATTTTTTTTTAAAACAATGCATCATAATGTGAAACAAACCTCAAAGCATGTCCAGATCATTGAGACAATTCAGATAAGACCAAACAAAGTAGAGTCAAAATTTTTAAGTAAAAAATTGTGCATGAATTTCATAAATATTTTTTGAGATATCGATAGATTGACAATGCCAATACATCCGAACCCTCGAAAGAAGTTAAATAGCTCACATTACAACAAAATTAATTGCAATCTTTAATAAAAATTAAGCACAAATAGATTATGCATAAAAATTTCACTTACATAAATTTTTTTGAAAGAAACATCATATTAACAAACAAACTTGTCGATGGGTCCAAATCATTGAAACAAAAGAGAAATGCAAATGAATATAGTTTAAAAACACAGCGAATAGCACACAATAAGAGCACATTGTAGATGATGCTCTTGTTTTTCAATTAAAATTCAATTGTACTCCAAAATTAGAAAGACATCCAAAAAAATACATGACAAGTTTATTTTGAAAAAAAAGGAACCAGCCCATACTATGGGCAACATAACAGAAAGTAAGTCTTATGCATGTGAAATCTAGCTGCAAAAAAGAAAGATACAAGAAAATTTTAATTCCTTTCAAAGAAATATTTGGCTTCGGCTTGTTTATGTTCACGAACAACATCGTTTAGAACTCGTGAATATGCTCGTTAAGAAGCCCGATTATGTCTTATTTAATTAAAAATAAATATTAAATTTGTTCAATAATATTATTTAAATAAAATATACATTTAATTTTTTAAGAACTATTTTTTAGATAATATGTTTAATAACGTTAAGAAATACCCTAAATAATGTTATTTGAATAATTAATATATTTTGACATCTAATAACTATTTATTTAATTTAGATAACGTTATTTAAATAACTATATTTGTTATTTAAATAATATATTTAGATAATTGTTTTGAACTCCCGCCCGCCCGCCTCTCTCTCTCTCCTCATTTTTGCGTTTTTATTCTCCCGCCCACCTGGCTCTCTCTCTCCTCCATGGCCACAGGAAAACCAAAAAAGAATGTGGGGTTTAGTACCACATCGCCTGAAAATAACAAATTTTTCTCTATAAAAGCAAATATATCTGCAGCCCAATCACTGAATAGCGAGCAGCTGGCGTGCTTCTCTGGGCAAGGACGTTAAATATTATAAATAAAATTTTGTAAATTGTGGTTAGATCGGTCGTTTAACTGTTAAACGAGCCGCTTGGCAAACTTGAAATTAAATGAGCTCAAATCTGAATACGAATCGAGCTCGAACATGAGAGTTTCAAACGAGCTCTCAAACAATTGTCCAGGAAGCTCGGCGAGCTTCAAGCCGAGCTTGAGCACGGTTTTGACAAACGAGCTTGAACTTGAACAGACTGAGGCTCGGTTTGGTTCAATTCATTTGTATCCCTAGTAAACAGAAACATAAAAATATTATTTTAAAACACAATCGGCTTTCTATCCATCACTTGCCCTTTACTTTTAATCTAAGTTGCAGGGTTTTGAGTTAAGCAAATGGATTTTTAGGCATTTTAGCTGGATACCAAAGAAAGAAGTTCAAACAAAGTGCTTCTAAAACTCGAGTACATTTATTAATTAATTGAAACTAAACTCATAGAAGCTCCATGCTAAAGAAGGTCAACATTCAAAAGTGAGACAATATTGCGTAAAACAAAACCAAAATCTATTTAGTTGATCGTAGACCCTTGATAATTGCAAATTTGTTTGAATCGTGGTACAAGTCATCTTACAGAAAGTTGCAAGTAAAAAGAGGAGAGCATAAAGTCCTGAATGACATTCAGGCTAGGTTATAACCACGATGAAATATTGTGCCAAAGAAGAAAAGATAAAAGGCTGAAAGAGAAAATAATTCCCAAGGAAATCAGATTCCCACTATGTTATAAGGATAGTTAAACACTAGACAAAATATAGAAATGGTAAAATTTTGTAAATGCAAATAATTCTTGAATGGTTGTGTGATAAACGTTTGCTGCTGCCAAAGGGTGACAGATGCTTCTATTAAAAAAAACAAAATATTAACTAAAATAAACCTGTAATAAGGCCCATGCCCAAATCAATTAGAATTTTAAATGAATTTTCTTCACAAGACTTTTCCTTTCAAGAAAGATGTTCTATATATTTACTACTGATTGGTTAAACATAAAAAAGAATATTCATGACTAACAAGTTATCTGCAGGTTTAACCTTTCAGCATTTGTTATAATATGTAGAAGCAATACAAGTCAAATGTACCAAAGCAAAGAATCATACTACGATCATTTACATGCATCAAATGATAAGTGAGGAACAGAGGAATGCACATGTTTCTTGAATTACGATTGCTTGGGGTTCATGATTTCAAGCCAAAAACCACATAATTGTGAAATTGACTACCATTAATAGGTGGAAATCACATATTTTTTATCAATAGGCATGAACTTAAAGACAAGAAACTTAACATAAAGAGTCTAACAGCAACCTCTGCATATATATATATATATATATATATAAGCTTTGTCATATGCCGTAAAAGGTATATATATATATATATATATAAAAGCTTTGTCATATCCCGTAAAAGGCAAAATGGTTTACGTTTGCTACGGTTTAAAAAATTCATGCATTAGAACAAAAAAAGAGGGAGAAGGAAAGCTCAATGATTTTGCATTAAAAATACATGAAACAGCAATGGTAAAAAGATGGAAACCTGAAGAAAGTTGACTCTGCTTCTGTGGCAACCGCTTTGGCCAAGTATGATTTTCCTGTTCCAGGTGGACCATACAAAAGAAATGCCCTCCATGGCCTTCTCTTCCCTACAGAAATGATGAAACAAGATGAGAAAAAAAATTAATTATCATTGAAAAGTTTGTTACTTTTCTTTCCAACAGAATTTCTCATAGGAGAAATGATGCAGAGGCCCAGAAAGCTGTGTCCAGCTACAAAGAGCTAAAATGAACACAACCTTCTGTATACTTCATGTGCATGATTGCACTATTCACCATCAGCTCCACTGCACTAGTATTTTATTATTCATCTAGACTCTTTGGAATGAATAAATTGACTTTCCAAAGTGGTCAAAATCTCATTGTTTTTCATATGTTCTGTCCTGCTTATGAGTGGCCTATTAACAAATCAGCTTTAATACCAATGTGCTGCAGGATGGCTTAAGATTTAGATTTTATAACGTAGTTATAATGATTTAATGAATGTAGATAAAAAAAATTAGAATTCATAAATCAAAAACCATTAATGACACAAAATTCACTTTCTTTGAGCAAGAATTTGAATTAAAATAATAATGCAAAAATTGAGTAAATCTAAATAATCTAATGAGAAATTTGAACTAAAAAAACCAACAACGACCAATTAAAATTTTACACAGCAATTTAAATAATAGCAAGGGTTTAGTGTAATTGAAGTGCAATAATGATGAAAATCAAAAAGTATTTTTATTTGAAGAAGATATTCAACAAATATAGATGAAATAATATGCTAAACTATTCAATGAAGATTGTGAAAATACGATTGACTTAAGTGACCTTAACATTCTAAATAAAAATAAATATTTTTGTTTTTATCGGCGTATTAATAAAACCGAAGTTAGAGAGACTTTAAAGAACATGATGTTGGACCTGATGATATTCCAATAGATATATGGAAGTGCATAGGAGATGAAGGAATTTCTTGGCTTGCTAAAATTTTTAATATTATTTTGAAGATGTTTCGTGTAAATACCCCTTAAAATATCATGAATTCTCATTCCCTATCATGAAATGTTTTTAGTCCATTACAATTCAGTGAATAACAACAACATGCATCCCTTTTTTTTCTAAAAAAAATCCTTTTCATCAAGCAATATCTGACTGTGTGAATAATTCATTAAACTTTTTTCATTTATAATAATTGTGTAATTGACTGCAAAAATTTTACAATGAGGTTAAATTGCATAAAAAATGGAGGTTAAATTATTGAGGGAATTCATAGTAGAAGGGCTAACAGGCCAAATGCCAAATTGGGAAGGATTAGGTCCACTGTCCACAAGTTGTCGATGACTAACGTGATATCAAGCCTTATCTCCCAAACAGGTCAGAACCCATCAAAGTTTGATGCCCTCGGTGGTTGCAAAAATGGTGAAGACGAAAAAATTAAATGCTTGTGTGGAAATGAAGAGAACAACGAGAGAGCGAAAGGCGGACGTATCGGGCTTAAAATTGAGCATTTGACTGCTCGGTTGGACTCGCCTTGTCGTAGAAAAGGCGAAGAGTCGAAGAAATGTATTGTATCGGGCTTCACTCTCTCTGCTCGAATGGCTCAAACGTCACACTCTCTGCTCGAACGGCTTGCCTAGTCGCATAAACGAAGGAGACGAGAGCTTTGCCTGGTCGCGTAAATGAAGAAGACAAGGGAGACGGCTGGTCACGTACATAAAGAAGACAAGGAGAAAAAAACCAAGACCACATATGAGTGAATACATGTCACGGGATATACGACAGGCATTTTATTTGATTAGGGGTAGTGGTAGAGCTAGAAATTTTATTCAGGGGGAGGGCCTAAATTAAAATAGTTTTTTTTTTTGTCATCTCATTTGAAAGGTTAGAATATATTAAAATAATTTTATTTATCGTCTCATTACCGAAGCTAAAATAAGCTATAAGATCAAAATTAAAAATGCAAATAGCATGGCCTTAGAGCTTAGAAGACATAAACATCTGTCACGGACAATCTCTGTTTGGGGGCGAGAGAAGAGCAAAAGGGAAAACGAAAGTCGTGCTCGAGGTCGTGAGTTGCAAGAGGAGCAAAGGAGAAAACGAACCATTGATGCTTTTCATGTGTCCAGAAAAAGATGTTGGTGACTTCTCTGGATTAATAAATAACTTTAAAAGAAATAATAATAAACTTAGAGCTTACTTGTTGGCGAACTTGTTGCTTTGTTAATATTTTACCCCATTAGTCTTTCTCTCTCTACAATTGAAGCATTGCATGGTCTGGGCAGAAGGTGGATTAAATTTTTAAAATAGAAAAATCCTGTAATAAATAAAATGAAAGCTGAACATATACGGTCTGGATTTGCTTGGGTGTGCTATTAGGAGAGTGATTTTTTTTTTGTAAGCATAAATTTCAAGTGATTTTTTTTTTGGGCCGGGGGGTGGGGGGGGGGGGGGTGTCCCCCCTCTCTCCCTCCGCCCATGATTAGGGGAATTTTAAATGTTAATATTTTGCAATTTAAAAATATTTCATCATTAAATATTTGGACATGCATGTCCATTTTAATTTAAATATCATTTTAATCCAACACAGATCTATCGTGTCTGACACGTGTCCAAGCCGTGTCAAGCACATGTCTGTGTCCAACACTGCATTCCCTCTTATGAAGGAGTATCAATGCATCATAGATTTCTTTGTACTTTCAACAACACAAAATAACCAGCTAAAATGAAGTAACATTTAAACACCCATTAGAAATAATCTAAACAATGGAGGGAAGACACAAGAGCATGCAAGAATACAATGTGTGGGTAATAGTTAGGGCTTATGGCATGTAGGTAAGGAAAAAAAAAAACTAAAATTGGTATCACAAATAGGTTCACAATATAACACAACAACAACAAGCATTTATCCCACTATGTGGGGTCGGCTATATGAATCCTTTTTCACCATTGTATCCAGTTAAGAATCAAATTCTCATCTAAATCTAATAAAGAAATGTCATTTCTAATATTTTCTAACTAGGTCTTTTTAGGTATACATTTACATTTCTTAACACAAGTCAAATCTAATACATAAGCTTCCTAACCGGGTCATCGGAAGGCCGACATTTTATGTGACCAAACTATCTAAGGTGATTCTCTCTAATCTTATCTTCCACTGGAGCTACTCCAACCTTTTCATGTATATGCTCATTTCATATCCTATCTCTAAGAGTAAATCCACTCATCCACTAGAGCATCCTCATCTCTACAACACTTAATATTATGCTTTTTCTTTAATGGTCAACATTCTGCACGATAGAGAATTGCAGGTCTCACCACCAACTTATAGAAATTTCCCTGAAGGACTTTTCTATCACACAACAAGCCTAATGCATTCCTCCACTTCAACTATCCAACTTTAATTCTACTAATAATATCCCCTTCTATTTCACCATCACTCTTAACAATAGACCCATGATATATAAAACATATACTCTTATTAACGACGCCCAAAGTCACAATACCCCCCCACTAGATCAATTATTACAAAAATTACACTCCATATATTCAGTTTTAGATCTACTCAAATGATAAAAATTTAAATTTAAAATTGGATATATATATATATATATTACTCAAAAGACTACAATAAATGAAATAAGTCAAAGGCCTCAGATGAAATCCTCATTGCATGCTAAATTAATTTTGTTTTTCATAATAAGATAATTTTAATGATAATTAATGTCTACTAAAAAAGTTAAACGCCGAGAAAATACAATAAGATAAAGGGTTTAAAATAATACCAAGATGTGATAGGTTTTGGATTTATTATATAGAGGAATAGCAAAGAAATGATGATTAACTTCTAAAATAAAGGTTTAGAGTTCAAATGAAGGAATGTCTCAAAGAGTACAATGCATAAGGAGAATATTATGGAGATTTAGAGGAATTGTATAAAACTATAATTAAGCTACATTATGTGGTTTAGTATCAAACACTAAAGCAATCACTGATAGCCAACTTGAGAGTGATAGAAATGATAATGTTAAGATGGATGTATTTTTAAACTAGGATTAATATATTGAGAAACGATCATATTAGAGAGAGCAAAGCAATATCAATTAAATAGACTTTGGTTTGTGCATGTATAATGAAGGGTGGATAACACACCGACAACAACAACAATAACATCAAGCCTTTATCCCACTACGTTAAGTGGACTACGTGAATCCTTTTTTTCTCAATTGTGCCATGTTAATAGTCAAATTCTATTTAAATTTAATAAAAAAAAGAAAAGTAAGAGTCAAATTCTCATTTAAATTTAAATTTAATAACTTTGTTTAAATGTTTTTAAAAATATCAAAATCAGATATAAACTCAAACAAGTCAAAAAGAAAAAGGGTGATAGCATACTAATAGTTTTTATGTCAAGCTTTTAAATCATGCATTATGATAAGTTAGTATTTATTTGTCTTCTTATGCTAGTTTAGTCTTCATGGTTGTCAGCACTCCTATATGAAGGGTGCAGCACTCATATATGCAGGGTGCCATGTAGAAGGGGAGGCATATTATGAACTATAAATAAAAAGTATTACTCATCTTTCTCCTCAAGCGGTAAACACTATTTCCTACTCTTATAGATAGCCCCTTATTGTTGGGTCAGGTATCCTTTTTCCTCCTTCATTCTCCCTTTCTATACTTTTAAGGAGTCCTCTCTATTTTGCTCACCTCTCTTTGATTATGTTGCCCGAATTTCTATTAAATCAGAAATAAGGATTTTGACTGTAAACAATTCAAACATAAAACACATCCGGTAAGTATTGGATGAGGATTTTGTTCAAATTGGTTACTCAAGAAATGACAAGGTATCAAGATTAGAAGATTTTATCACTCTGCAAAAGTTCAATTTATTTCATCTTAACAATTATATATCATACTCACCAGTCAACTTTCTAACTTAAAAACTTCTAATGAAGTTAACTGCTAATCTTGCCATCCTTAATCTCTTAAAAATGGATGTCATTTTTTAAATCCCTTTCTCTGGTGACAAGTAATGCTCATCAGGGATTCAGTTGTGTAGCACAATAAACGAAGTTTGAAAATAAGATTACAGGTAATGGATGGATAAATAAACGCAGCTCAAGCAGAAAACAGAAGCAATAATGGTACTTAACCAGCATACCTAATTTTGTCTTTCATGGTAAATTAAATTCAATATTTTGTCTTTCCTGGTAAATTAATCTATGATAAGTGCTTAAAAAAATTCAATATTACACGTAATCACAAACAATATTAGAAGGCAAAACAGGCACTTTCTCTTCAATTTCATATTAGATTATAAAAAATGTAATTTTAAAATGATTTTAGCAAGAAGCCTTTATAGAGCTTGCAACTTCCCTCCCAAAAAAAATAAAACCATAACAAAGGACAGGAAAGGGATGACATAAAATCCATATTAAAATTAGAAAAAAAAAGATACTAACTGCCAGTGGAGGTAAACATGAGAAAAGCATGATAGTGCATGCTAGGGCAGCTACAATTCTAACATCATTAAATAGCATTGAAGCTATTTCATATTATCTTTATTCAGAAGACAAAAGCACCTCAAAAAAACATTTAAAGCAAAAACACAAACTTAGATCTTTTGCTCAAGTAGATAATAGTGTAAATTTCATTAGGATAACGAAAAGAGAGAGAGAAGGGGGCAAAAAAAACCAACCTGTGAAGAACTGAGGAAACTTGACGGGTAATATGACAGCTTCCTGCAATGCCTGTTTAGCACTTTCGAGGCCAGCAACATCATTCCACTTAATGTTCGGTTTTTCCCTTATGATTGCAGAAGTAAGCCCAGACCTGAGCTTAGCCTGCTCAGGATCCTCCCCTCCATCATCTCCCTCCTTAGGCTTTGTCTTGGCTTTCGTGGCCACCGCCGCGTCCCCGTTGGAAGCCAGACCAGAGCCCCCCTCATCCAGGACGGCGCGGATCTCCTCAGCGCGGCGGAGATACTCAGTGAACTTCTGGGTGATCGCCTCCTTAATCTTAGGGTTCTTCTCGTACTTGAGGTGCGTCTTGAAGTACTCGAGGGCATTCATGTACAGGGGAAAGGCCTTGACATAGTTCCCGGCATTATCCGCCTGGACAGCCTGTTTCACGTACTCAATCGCTTGCTCCTTGAAATTGCTGTACATCTCCTCTGCGTAGTTTTCTTCCGCTACGGCGGCTTTAATCTCATAAATTTGATTCTGCGAAGTATACAGAATCCCTAGATCATAGCAAAGGTGTGATACTACCTTTGATGATATGCAGAGGCTGACGATCGATGGCAAGGAGGAGAGCGAATCGTTATTCGCAAATTGGGATTGATCAGCGGAGAAACTCGGAGCAAGGGTTTGACGGATGCGTAGCCAAGGAAAGAGGGAGGCAACGCAAGGTAGGCTGGCCGCGGAATATTGAATAATTTGCGTAGGAAATGCGTCTGCCGCCGGAGTGGGTCGAACTAATAATTAATTTGTTTTTTCTAATTGAAAAAATAGAAATATATATGTTGATTTTTTTTATAACAGATTTTTAAGAGGTTATATATAGATATTTTTTTTAAAAAATGCTAAGCAGCAATAATATAAAAAGGCATAAAAAAATCAAGATACAAGCTAATGAGGAATCAACCACCCTTCACTATCTTCCTTTACTAATTTAACAAAGGAAGAAAGAAGGTCATCCTCAAGAAACAAATCCCAATCAAAATCAAAAGATAAAGCTAAGTTAGCAGAATAATCCGCTAACTTATTACAATTGCGATTGACACAATTAAAGATGACATTATTGAAATTACTAAAAAATGAGATACCTTCATCACCCAATGAGTTCTCTCTAATAATCTTCGGTTTGCTGTACAATTTCTGAAGATATTGGAGAACATTTTTATTGTCACCTTCCAAAATAATACCTTTTATATCTCTTATCCATTCATGGTAAATTCCTTCCAAAGCTTTGAATGCCGAGAGCTCCATTTGTGCACTGTCCCAATGTATCTTCTTTCTTCCAAAAGCAAAGATAAATATGCCTTTATCATCTCTTACCACCCCACCGATCCCAGCCATATAGTTATCTCTAATAGCCGCATCAAGATTAATTTTAAGCCACTCGGGTCGAGGAGGATGCCAATAATGTGAAAGCAGTCCTTTGGACCGATAAGCATCCCAGTGATCTGAGTGGTAAACATCCTGTTTTACTGAGCTAAGAAAGCTCAAAATAGAAGAAGCAATCAATAACTTACTATTTCCAGTTTTTCCATGCTTAACTTTGCATCTATTGTTCCAAACCATCCATACAATCAATACATAGATTCTTGCTGTCATGATTTCATGATTTATAATCTTCTAATACTGGCGTTGAAATCATTCCAATTACTAAATAATGGAATACTGAATCCCCATCCTTGTAAAACTTTGCAAACCTCCACAAGTTTAGAACAGTTAGAGGTGATATGATCAATCTTCAATCACATTACATCCCATAGGACAAAAACAGTTAACAGAGAGTTTTCTTTTAAAAAGAAAAAGTTCTATAGGAATAGCATCAATGCTTAATCTCCATAGAAAAAGCTCAACCCGAGCATTGATCTTTAATTTATGAATCCATGAAAACAATACATTCGAGGAAAAATCTCTATAATAATCTTCAGTTAACATGGCTGAGATAGTTTTACCAGAAAATTGTCTTTTCAATTCCATTTGATCTTTTGTTGCATTGCTGAAGATATGCACCTCTTGGATGATTTTTTGGAGCTCTACTCTAAAAAATTGTCTCAGTTTAACGATATTCCACTTACCATCTTCTATGAAATAATCGAGAGAAGTTATGTCCTCATCAAGGCATCCTACAAAAGTAGGCCATTTAAATAGACTTTTGTCTAGAATCCAAGCATCTTATAAAACATTTATGCTGGAACCGTTAACAACTCTCCATCTAACAGATTTTTTAAGAGCCTTCCATCCACTTATGATGATTTTCCAAGCATTTGATCCTCCTTTAAAATCTTCCTTACTCCACTACAAATCACCATATTTTGTCAGCAAGTTCCTATTTAACATAGTATTTGGTTTCTCAATGAGATTCCAAGCAAACTTTGCTCTAAGAGATCCAATTCGGGAAGAAACTGATTGAAGACCCCATCCTCCACAATGCTTAGGTGTACATAACAACTCCCATGCTACATAATGTAAACCTTTGCTTCTATCCATTTTATTCCAAATAAAATCTCTACTAAGTTTTTCTAACTCATATAGAATTTTCATAGGAACAAGAGAGTTAGAAATCAAAAAAACTGGTAGAGTAAGAATGACAGATTTTACCAGACACAACCTGCTGGCAAGAGACATATGTCTGTTTCCCCATTCATTCATTCTCTTCATGGTTTTATCCAACAGCACTTGGAAATCACTCTTCTTTAATCGTCTCAAAGCAATTTTTATTCCCAGATATTCAAATTCTTCTACCGGTTTGAAATCCAGTAACATGGAAATATGTTTCTTTTTTCTCCTCAACACAGAAGTACCAAAGATCAAAGATGATTTATGCTTGTTAATATTCTGGCCCGTCCAGCTGCAGTATTATTTAATAATACCTTTAATTTTCTTCACATTGATCAATCTAGCATCAGAGAACAATAATACATCATCTGCGTATAAGAGATGAGAAATTTTTGATGCATTAGAGCAAATACTGACTCCCAAATTGTTTCCCCTGCAGTAGAAAACATTAGATAATAACTGAGAGCAAATGATAAATAAAAATGGAGTGAGTGGGCATCCTTGACGAAACCCACATTTGCCCTCAATCCATTTAGATCTTGTCCCATTGATTAATATAGAAAATCTGGGAAATGAAACACATTCCATAATAAGTCCTATGAATCTGACCGGGAATCCCAAATCCATCATCATCTTCTTCAAGGTTAACCAACACATACTATCGTATGCTTGTTCCATATCCAATTTGATAGCCAAGTATCCACTGCAAGCTTTAGAATACCTTATTTTATTGAAAACCTCTTGAGCTGATAAAAGATGATCATAGATTGATCTATTCTTCACAAATGCCACTTGATATTCAGATATGATCTTGGGAATCACTAAGACCAATCTATTTAAGATTATATTAGACACAATCTTATAAATTGAGTTACACAAGCTAATTGGACGATAGTAAACAGGAGTTAAAGGATTAATGGACTTTGGAATGAGCACTACCAAAGTATCCTTCCACTCATTACTCATTTTACCTGTAGAGAAAAATAAACTCACTGCTTTACATACATCTCTCCCAATTATATCCCAAACGTTTTTTGAAAAAAGAGTAAGTCAATCCATCACATCCCGGAGCTTTATTATTCCCTAACTTCATAACAGCCTCCTTAACTTCATTTGTTGTAAGCTCCTTTTTCAACCATGTTTTGTCATCATCGGTCAAAACCCTCCAAGGATTCGGCCAGTTATCTAAACTGCATTTTCTTTCCTTCCATTTCTCTTGAAAGAAATTGAAAAAAACTTCTTCCACTTCCCTAGGATCTTCGGTGATTTTTCCTTCACTATTCTTTACTTGAGAGATCCAATTGGCATTTCTTCTAGCATTGGCAAAGGCATGAAAGAATTTGGTATTTGAATCACCTTCAATTACCCACTTCACTTTTGCTCTTTGCTTCCACCAAGTGTTCAAGTGATTGAGAATAACATTGAGCTCTTTTACTTTAGCTCTAAGTAGCCATAACTTCTCATCATCCAGCCATTCATTGCTAGCTTCTTCTTCTTGGAGTAATAAAATTTCATCCTTTAATCTAGATTTTTCACTAGAAAAGTCTTTAAGCTTATTCTTGCTCCAATAGAATAAGTCATTTAAGATTCTCTTGCACTTATTGTTTAGGATTTCCATGTCATCCCCAACAAAATTCTTCTTCCAAAATTTTGAAACAATGTGTTCCGATGTTTTGAAGGATAGCCAAACATCTTCAAATTTAATAGTTCTAGCCAAGCTTCTAGTTTCATCAAATAATTTCAGCACAATGGGGCAATGGTCAGAAGCCACTCTGGCTATGTGTCTTACCACTGCAATTTGGATCTTTTGAAGAGCCATTGAGTTCAACAAGCATCTATCCAAGCGTTCTAGAATTCTTCCACTTCCAACTTGGACCAAGTATATCTTGGACCAACCATCCCAATATCATGATAATCACTATCATTCATAAACTTAAGCATTTCTAAGGAACCTTGAGAGAAGACAAATTTCTTACCTCCTCTCTTTTCCTCTTGTGAAAGAATGCAATTAAAATTCCCTCCAATAAAAGATGGAAACTTCCTTTGTGATTGCTCATGGATGCAATCCCATAACAATCTCCTCTTGTGAACCTCCTTGCTCCCATAGACTGTAGTAATCATCCAACATCCTTTTTTAAAGACATTAAGATCTCCAATAACACATTGATCTATAGTCTTTAACATTGAGAATGAAGCAATATCCGACCTCCATAGAATCATAATACCACTAGATAATCTCTCCAAGGCAGAATAAAGAAATCCCAATTAGGACCCATGTTCTTATCAAACTCAGTTTTATCAAAAGTGCTGATTTTAGTTTCAACTAAACCCACAAAGAATACCTTATTGTCTTTTATGAACTCCTTCATATATAGAGATGCTTCTTCTTCTTTTGCCCCTCTACAATTCCAAAAGGCTATGGAATCCATTAAAGTTTAATTGGGGTGTAGCCCCCAACCTTCCTCCTATTTCCTCCTTCTCCAAGTCTTCCACGGGTTTTATTTTTAATTGGTCCTAAGGATTTTAGTTCTTTTGCCAATTTTCATTTAGGCAATTCTTCAATCAAACCATTGTCTTTTTTCATAACCAAGATATCTTCTCTATCCTTGTAAGTCACAGAAACACCTTCCGTAGCATGTCTCTCTTCTTCAGCTCTCACCAAAGTACTTTGTAAGTTAACATCTACATTACCATCTGCACTAACAGTTTGGAAGATAGAGAACTTATTTTCATTTATCAGAGACATAGGAGCTCCACATTCAATCTCAGATTATTATCTGGAATCCTTTCATGATTCTTACTAAAAGAAATTGCTGATTCATGATAGGGAATACCTGAGTTCGCAAGTAATCCATTAGGATTTACTTGAGTTTGCAGGCAAACCTTCCCAACTGTGTTGTCTAAAGTATAAGGCTCTTCCATAGCCTTGCTATTATCCTGAGAAGGATCATAAGTTTGTTCTGGCCTGAACTCCCCTTCTTCCAAATTTTCTGCCTCTCTACAGAATTTTCTAGGAACTTCTTGAGCCAAACTTTCACATAAGCCTTTATCTACCACCTTTTGAATATTATTCCCATGTGATACAGGAATAACATATTTTTTGACATATACGAGTGTGTTTTTTTATCTCCTTATTGCTTATTTTAGTGTTCCTTCTTCTCTTGTTGTTTA